CTGGGGAAAAAAGATTTCGCCAGATATCATGACTATTGTAGAATTTCATGGAATTAAGGGGTGTGTCCAAAAGGCCATTTCGGAGAAAAACTTCTCCAAATCCGAGCCGATTTAATGTTACTCAAAATGGTTTGTCATATGTACAAAAGAACGTTATATATATTTTCAGTGAAAAATAATATTTTATTTTGACGATTTTATCCGTAAAATATGTAAAAAAAAATTAAGGTTAAGATCCAAAATCTTCTCATTCGGTCAGTTTGTGACAGACCGCGGTGGACCGTGGCACACTGCACTGTAAATTCTCCCCATCTCATGTAGTTTTGGTTTGCAAAGTCTCAGATCAAAAAAAGTAAATCTTCCCCGAGATAATGCTGTTAGAGGAGGGCATTAGGGTTTGCTGTTTGACGGTTTTGGCTATTTTTTAGATCGGTTTTTGTGCCAAAAGACGTCGGTTTTTCGGTTTGTTGTTTATTGCGTTTTGCGGATTTTCCGTTTTCAGCATTTGGTTTTCGGTTTTCGTCAAAAAATTTTACGGCGACTCGAATCTGGTATCCGATGTGCTTTTTCGGTTTTTCATAGTTGGGTTCCGGTTGCTCTTCGATCTGATCGTCTGCTGATCCCGAATAGCCGCAACACCTGTGTTGCTCCCTTTGTAACCACAGTAACAGATCGAATACGATTTTAACAACTGAGATGTGCAAATTTATCGGTCTAGACGGGATTGCATGCAGTCTTCGATTTTGATGGAATTTTTTTGCGGTTTTGTGGTTTCTAATAGACCCCAATGCCCTTCTCCTGTTGCAGTGGCATGGCACGGCATAGATGACATAGCTGCACTAATCAATTCACGGAAAGTAGCATTATTAGCTTGCACGACCTAGTTCCTGAAGTGAAAGCATCCTCTTAGGGCGAGGTAACGTTATAAGCTCGTAATCGTTTATTCGAACGCCATGTTTGATTTGGAGTCAGAGTAGACCGTGGGGGTAGGGGACGTGGGAAGGGCGATAATATTCACTCTCCAACTCCAGCCCCTCCCCTTATTTGAGACTGTCACTTACTCCCCTGGTACAAATTGTTTTCTTTCCCAAGCCTTCCGCTTCCATTGAAATGAAAGATGGCGGCCATTTTTCGCTAAGAAAGTACTGAGCACTCACTCGCCCATGCAAATTACGCCTGCTCTGCAGGCTACGACAATAGGGACTTTAAGCAAACCACGACGGCTACGGCAACGAGAACGTGGAAAAACAATAGATCTAATTGGCAGAACAATAGCTCAGCACGTGCGTTTTAAAACTTTGTACATTTCTTAGCCGTCCTTTGCTAAACAACAACGTGAAATCACCAAAATTTGCGTCGTCTGCGCAGCAAAACCGCGCCGGCAAATTAGTTAATTTACATTTGGAACTCAACGCTACTTTTATGCGTTATGTTGAGTTTGAGGTCTGGCGCCCTATGAGACGGTAAACAAATGCAGCCATTTTCGAACTTCTAACTAAAAGTAGAAACTCATTTTTTAATCGACGTCTTCCGTGGCGTTGCTGTCCTGACTGCTTAAAGTCCCTAATATCTTTCGCAGAAAACGTCAGAGAATACATGCTTACTTACCTCCTTCGGTCGTCATACTGTGTGAGCTAGTGATACATGACTGCAGCAGTAAAACGCAAAATAGCGCAATATAAAGGGTCATATTCATTTTGCTATTTTACCCGCGAAACCAATCAGATCACCATCCGTAGCAATGACACCCATTGTGCGGTGTCGAGAAAACTTTGGCGCCCGTGCAGTGCATTAGCGACAGATGGAAAAGCGACACGAAAATAGAGGTCGCAATAAATGTTTAAGGCTTTCTGTTTCTTAAAGAAATTAAAGTTCCTGCCTGGGAAGTGAAAAGAAGAAAAGTGTGTCATCAGGAACCACAAAAGTATATACTAAAAGGTTTGAGCATTTGAAAGTCACAACTTTCAATCTATCAAACATGGCATGACTTTCGCTCGCTTATGGCTGTAACGCGTCCCGAAATGATAAAATGTAATCGAAAAGTTTTAGAATAATGTTTTCGTTACTTAGAAAATATAAGTTGTCAGCTACTGTAGAGCTCTTTCCCAAGTTCCATCCATGCTAAAAAGTGTTTTATTCATTTAATTACTGAATGGTTACTTATAAAGTGGATGCGTGAGAAATGTCATCTAAGAAAATACCACGTGAACCCAGGCGAATGCTCGGCGAGAACCGTAGCAACTTTAGAACACCCGGCACTCCTGACTGTAATAAATCAATTGCTCCTGCGCTCCCGAAGTCGAAGATTAATTAAAAGCTAGTGCTCCCGCAGTCCCGCGCCCCCGAAATAGAAGAATAGTTAAAACGTACTCATCACCCTTATGTGGTTCTTTAATGAAAGATCGCCTTTTTAACAGCAATTTGATATATATGGTTTGTTTTGAAACTCGATCAGATATTCTAGATTGGGTCTAGATTGAGTAATTACGTGGACATTGACAGCGTTTTCAAAACTATCGCATGTTGTTTTAAAAGACATTGCTTGAAGAGAAAATACAAAACCATAACCGATCAAGAATGTTTGATCTTTCAAACTGTGAGTCAGTTAAATGCGTACATGCATAGGTTAGTTGACCACTCCCCATGGGGCTTTTCAGGGCTAATCTTACAACATTGTGCGGGGGACTTTACCAGACCGCTTGCGGCAGCTTACAATGACTAAAGGCAAATCGGAAGCTACGTTCCCGACTCTTTACGATAAGTTTGTAGGTCCTTTAACGTCCCATGCTAACCAGTACAGAAGAGTTGCAGGAGACGAGGCGTAAGCTTTTTCGTCCTTATCCGAGAAGACTAGAATGTCTAACCATTTGCTGATATCAAAGCAAAGGCAACACATTCTCCTCGATTATTTTAAGACCCTAACTGCTAATTCCACTCGACAGTCCGGCGTTCTACAACATCATCATCATCATGTTTCATCATCATCATGTTTATTTGTTCAAGCAGGTTGAATTTATTGGCAACTGTATAAGCTGATGTGGACCTGCTGTTTTCCCACCCAACCCACCCCAGGGGAGGACATCCAGCACACAGTAATCTCGTGCGTGGGAAATTAACGTCTCTTACCCCTTACCCTTTAAGAGACGGGACCTCCGGCTTTACGTCCTATCCGAGAAGACGAAACAATGTGAGTGAAGTGTCTTGCTTAAGGACTCAACGTAATGCCCCAGCCAGGACTTCAACCCGGGCCGTTTAACCCAGAGTCCAGCGCACTGACCACTGGACTACTCACTGACCACTGGACTACTTAACAGAGCAGCGGTCAGCCGTCCACCTACTTCAAGCAGCGACTATCCAAATCCATACGACCCTCTTGCTCTAAGCCATTTTTTCTTCAACGACGAAAGCATGCGTTATCTCCTAGATTGTTCGAGCGTGAAGATCTTTACAGAAGGAAGCAATGAAAAAGGGCGCGAGTTCTTGCTGATTTCTTTTGGAAGAAATGGATACAAGGGTACATTCCGACACCTCAACAACGTAACAAATGGATAGACAAGAGAAGCAATTTAAAGATTTGAGATTTGGTCTTGGTCGTGGTCAACAATTCCCTTCATGAACAATGGCTGCTCGGTCGTGTTGCCCAGATCTTCTATGGACGCTTAGCAGAAATCAAAACTAAGAATACTACTCTCATCAGACCAATTTCAAAGCTAGGTTTGCTCGAGGAAGTACCTTTGTTGCAATGTTGTCGAACGTGCGAACACTCTTGCCGGGAACTGTGCAATAACCCAATATTTCATTGTTTCGTTCAATTTCGTCAGCCCCCCGCCCCCCAAGATGTTGTGGCCAGTTTTAAATCTCTTTACTTTCTGTCATGCCTCTAATGGTTCTCGCAATAATTGATTTATGCACGTACTTCTCACTTTCCGCCAGTCTATTTATAAAACATTATTCTTGTGCTTTATGTAAAGTACGCTGTCCCATGTATTCCATGTTTCACACCTTTAAAGCTGCGTGTGTTTTATTCTTGGTTCTGTGTCATAACCCCTTCCATTCGTCGTATCTTCGTATTTGTCGTATTTATCCTCCCATCTCTTTCTTGTCAGGATATTTTCTATAGATCACTTTCTGTTTTTAAGGAATTCGTCTTCACCTCATAAAAAAGTAGCAAATCAGTTGTTGAACAAGCCTGGGTGTTTTTTCGAAGCGGGCTCTTGCCTTCTCATTATAATTTGAAATAAAGTTAATAGGGTTTTGTACACTCTTTTTGCAAAGTAACATTTTATTTACACCTCGATTAAAAATTTACAGCATGATTTATACGAATAAGCTTTATGTACACGGACGATTTTCTTACGGAGTGAGGCCACGCTACAAGGACCATCAAGGAGACTGTCCTTTGTATTGTGTATCATAGCAGCCCAGTAACAGACTCAATTTTTTCGCTATTTCGAAGATTCAGTAACTCTTAACTTCGCTGTACTAAATAAGGACTCTTAAAGAGTATCTATATTGCTGAACAACTTGCTGTAAATTCCCTATTTCACTAAAAGTGATTAGGCCCCTTTGAGGGACTCTATCTTACAAGGCATCATTAGGACCCATGAATAGACTAACCATTTCACCAAAAAAAAAAGGTAACTCCCTTTCAGGGAATCCACCTTGCTGTGCTTCATTATAGGACCCATTTACAAACTCTTCAGTTCATTGTACATAATAATGTTCTTCTGTAAAAACTCTCCATTTCGCTGTTATTATAGGGTCTCTTTTAGAGACTTTTAAGTTTACTGTACTGTTTATCTAGACTCTATTGGAGAATCTACCTCAAAAGAAGTTTAATTTTACCACACAACATTTCAAGGCTTCTGTAAGAGACTCATAGTAGCCCCATACAATTTAACAAGGCTAACTGCCTGAGTATAAATTATCGGCCATATTAAAAACAAAATTTGAAAGATATCATGAAATCTACAAATAAGGTCCGTGAAACAGAGAGGAGTTTAGTCTTTCATTGAGAACCAAGGATGCTGCAGAACTTGTTTAAGAGTTGGTCGCTGATCTGCTTCGGGATTCAACAACATACGAACGACGTGCTTGACTTCTGTTTAAAAAGGAAAAGGTAGATGATTATCGCACTGGATCAGATTTTTACGGGAAATCCCCTCACTCATAGTCTCTGCATCATTTCTTAGGACCTTCAGGGCCGTGATCTCTCGAGGCCCGGAAAAACTTACCCTAGTTCAACTCAAAAAGTAGCGGGAGTGAAACCCCGACTGAATAGCTTAAATGGGCCGTTTCCTTGGCGTCAAGGCAAAGTAATTCCTTAAATTATGCTTAGTTAGCTCGAGTAGCGCTAACCAACCATGACCCAACAAAAGTTTCTTGTAGATCGTAACCAAATATTGAGGGCGAAACTCTCCGACTGTCATGTACAGCAATTTCCGAAAATTTTTTAATTCTGGCAACGGCTCTTTATGATACGGAACTGGTAACAAGAGTGATACAAAGTTTTCACCTAAACCAAACTGTTACCCACCTGATGAAAAGTGTTGAGGTATTCTGGGCTCCATACTTAGGCAATGTTGGGGTTTTTCAAATGCAGAAATAACTGGTGACAACATATCGACCAAAAGGATTCCCATCGCCCATACAGTCGCCTCGCAACCATCATATTTACTTGTTTTCATGAATTCAGGGGGCATGTACTGATTCGTACCTAGAAGAAAATTATTGATAGTTCATTATTTATCTTATATCAAAACCTGAAGAAAGTTTGTAAGTTTGCTTTAAACCAAAGGGAAAAAAATTTCACGAAGTTTGTTGCTTAATAATCGAGAGTTGGAACTGCAAAAGGAATGGGAAAGGGAAACTATGAACATTTGTGGAGGCTCCGCCCATACTTCTGGATGCACCATATTCCTGGCCTCCACTTCCTTCCACTCACTTGCGTGACGTGATGCAATGTATGATTTAATTGGAACAATATGCAATGTTATGGGACGCAAAATCAAGACTAAGAATATCAGCAATGATAAGATGTCCAAACAGAGAGGTTGGGTTCGACGACTGAAAGCTCGTTTTCATACAAGATCTGTCAACTGAACTGGGTTTCTTTCTGAGATCTTAGATGTTTGAATGCGTGATTAACCCTCGTTGTGCTGAGTTTAAGCCACTCGAAACCGATTTCTCTGATGAAACAGTTCTTACCTCTAAAGCTATCAAATGGCTCCTCTTGTATCTCAGATGCCAAGCCAAAGTCAATCAACTTCACTTCATCATTTGTTAAATCCAGCAAGATATTTTCAGGCTTGATATCGCGGTGTATAACACCTTTTTCTTCGCATCTGATGTTAGCTTCCAAGATTTGAGAGAAGTATCGTCTCACTTCTTTTTCTGACAGTGGGTTTCCTGTGGAGTTACGATCCTGAATGACGTCGAAAAAGTCTTTGCAGGATTCTGGTCGTTCCATGACAAAACAGTAATGTTCTTCTGTAAAGATGAGTTGGTAGATTTGGATGACGTTCGGGTGACGCACTCGACTCATCAGATAAGCCTCAGCCGGGATTTCTCTTCCTCTCAGCTATAACAAAGGAGGGGAGAAAGGATATTAACATTATATTATAACATTATTGTCATTGTTATTTCTGTGATCCACGTTGTTTAGTGGCATAAACCAAGATAGTAACTCCGGGTATAACATCCTCTCTTACCTAAACTTAAACTTGTACCAACCTTTTTAAACTCTTGCACTGAACTTCTATTCACAAACTTAAGCGCCACCTATGAAAAAAGTTTTAGGTTGAGTTTTGAATATCGTTATATTTTTCTATTGATAATAAGTTACTAATCAACGTCACGACAACCAGCTTCCTAGAACCCATACTTCTTCCTCCTCCCCCCTCCCCCCTCCCCTACTAAAGCAGCGCAGCTCCGCAGTTCAATTTCCAGTCACAATTCTCATCATAGGTTAGAGAGGCGAGACCCCCTCAGCCTAACTATAAAGGATACGTTTAATATTCGTATAAATTCAATACCTAAACGATAAAATACATACTGGCTTGTTATCCGACTTGCGAGTCGCAGCAACTACTTGACCAAATGAACCAGATCCAAGGAGTTTTCCAATCTCGTATTTCGCAAGATCAGCTAAAAATTGGAGCAGAAACTTAAATGAGCAATCAATTAACTAAACAACACGAGAAGTACTTAAACTTTCAATGACATAGTTATAAAAAAATTATCTTGAAACGGGATAACTATCCATTTCATAAATACCATATTTAAGTATTATAGGGAACAAACTCAGTTCCTTAGACACAAACAACAGGTCGCTTGACATAGCTTTCCAGGGGGTAGGGTGGGGGGAGATCCCTCATTATTGTCTTGCTAACATGTGCGTTTAACTGAGCTGTCGTATTGTGGTAGGTCCTCATTTTTTTCCGGACCGATTGGTGTGTCTATGATTGCTTCCACCTCTGCAGAAGAGAATTCATTTAGGAAAAAGAAGAATTTAATCTCAGTAATGGGAAAAGTGGAATGAGCATACCATTAGAAGACGCCAGTTCCTTGATGTAGTCAGGAGGTTCAGTATTTTTAACTGCCTCCACATAGCTGCCGTAGTTTGGCTCATAACTTGGTGACCATAGAGGAGAATGACAATCCTTCAACCAGTCGGGCTCCTCAGGGTCCTGAAACGTAAACACGTAACCCTGATGTCAGAGAATAATGCTTCAAGTTCTGGAAAACTCGGGTGACAAAAAAAGGTCTCGTGTTGTTAAAATGTGGTGAAAAATATAAGGTAGAAGAATTGATAAAGCAGATTCATGAAGTCTGTTTCCTTCAGAGATCACAACTTATATCTAAGGGGAGAAGTAACTGAAGACTGACAGACTCGTCTCTAGAGCCCTTGTCACCCTTCTTCCGTTGAAAAGCATTTTCCGACTGCGGGCCAAAGGAAAGTGGACTCTGCAAACGAGATCGTTTCTCAGTCCTCTCTCCGTAGGTCGTGTTCTCTTTCATGATTCCTAGGTCTTGGTTTATCCTGGTCTCCATACACCGAAAAACTACAACTACTTTATTCGACATGACAAGATTTGAAAAAGTTTTGCTGAAATTGCTCTCAAACATCTTAAAAACTGGTTAAATTATAAGAATCAGAACGCAGAACACCGACACTTGCATCCGTAGCTTTAGGCACACAAGTACGTGGAATAACCAGTACTCCTTGACCACTGTTAATTCTGGAGATGGATTAGGGAACTTGATGTGAGCTTAGATATCAACCTTTTTCATATTTTTCTCTTACCTCGTAATCCTCATAATCGAGCAATTCTTTACTGATATTATTTTCTTGCGGTGAGTTACCCTGAAGCCTGGCCTCCGCACAGCTCGACCTTTTTCTGTTAAGGTAAAAGAAGCAACAAAGTTAATTATCCTTTCATTAGATACAATTTTCAATAAATATATATTTGATATTTACCTTGATAGTTTGTAACCGCTATCATGGCTTTCTTGTTGTCGTTTCCCAAAGGACGCCTGTCAAAATATGAGGAAGCGAAAAGATAGTTTCTCAGTTGGTGTGAAATTGACGCTTGATTCACCTCTTGCTTTCTGATTGTACAGCACTTTTCAATCAGTAATACTGGACCACTATATTCTATTTTGCTCTTTGTTAGCGAGTGCGATAAATAGCACAATGATCATTTCACTGATTAGACATTTTGATAAGCTTATTCAAACGAAAGTTTGGGCACTTAATCAGTTAAACGTTTACTCACCCTGCTCTCGTTTTCGGTTCGTTTTGTTGCAGCAAGGAGATTACTTTTCGCTTTCCGCTTCCTAGAGGGTTGTTCCGATTTACTTGTAATCGGTTTTATATTTGCATGCTTTTCTTCAGGTAAACTCGCTTGATTTAAAACTTTTTCTGAAGAAACTTTGCAGTCCTTGCTCTCTTTCAAGTAACTGGTCTGAGGCACGATGCCTGAACAATTGGATTTTTCCCTAAGATAAAGATAATATCATTATGACAAAATTCTCTACTTATTTGGAGTCGTTAGGTAACTAGATGCTAAGTGGTATACGTTTCGTGGTTCCTTTCACTTATCATATTTCTTACGAAAACATTTTCTTTCGACGTTTTTTTCATTTTTATGAGAATCGTTTTCCAAAGGAGAAAACATGCTTTGCAGTTAAACCAAAATACGTAAACTGGGAAGAAAGGTTTGCCAGGCTGAAGTTTTATCAAATTTTATCAAAAACTTTCGTTAGCAAAATGAAACAAATGCAGGTAGAAACTACATTGGCACGAATACGTCAACAACTCAAAGGTGAAAGAGCTTCTCTACGGAGCCGGTTGCATAAAACTAAATCAAACTGCTGTAAACTCAATAAAAACTGCTGAAGATTTTTGTTCAGTCGTATAACCACATAGGTCTTTTACACAAAGTTGAACTACGTTCCAAAAATCTGCGAAAACCTTACTCTTGAAAATCTGTGGCTCAAAAACGTTTTCCTTCAACCGAACTAACTTTCGCGTCTGAAATTACGCTCACACGTATTTTGGCCAATTACAAACCAAATTTTCATTTAATACTTACGTAGAACTCCATTTAACATTTGTAAAAGCACGTAAACTAAATTATCAGACTTCGAAAACGTTAAAAATGGCTGAAACTTCCTTCACCCTTGTATTAATTCTCATCACGCGTCGACCAAAAGCTTGTGTTTGAAGAAGCTCTTGCAAGCAACGAGAGTGGTAGTGTCAATCAACAAATTTTTAACCAATCACCTGCCAAAATGTGCAATGATGTTCTCACTCTGCACTGGTGAATACGAAGGAACGTTATGTTCTTGGTCAAGAACGGCATAAAAGAACGGTATGAAAGTAACAAATATATCAAATTCATAGGTTAACAATTTTTCATTTACCTTGGTAATCTAGGACTGCAGACAGATCGCTGGATCTTGAGAAAATTCTACAAAAACAAAGAAAACATAAAAAGGTTTAATTATAGCCCTAGTAAAAATTTGCAAATTTCTGCAAAAGACAAGAGAAATTCAAAGATGAAATCAACTTCACAAGGTGCGCTTTTCTGCACTTGACTTCAGGGAATCAAACATTTTCAATTTCTTTTACCCTGCTGATCATACGATATTTTCTAATTGCTAATTATGTCAATACATTTCAATTAGAAAATCCTGACGAGTTAACGACCTTTCTTATTTGTTTTAACTTACCTCGATTTCCTTCTCTGTCTGTTTTCTTTTACTCTCTGGAAGAACATCTGTTCCCGCTTTCCGCTTTCTAGAGTTTTGATTCGATTTCGGATTTTCATTCCTGTCTTTGTCTTGACCTGACCTCGCCTTCTTTGAGAAGCGTGAATTTCTCTTAGGCATGCTCGATCAGAGTTAGTGAATCAGAAAACTTAGCCTTGATTCCGTTGAAATTGTGTCTGTAAACTTTCTCTGCGATCACGGCCAACTAGTCAGTATACAACTGTTTGTTTCTATGGAGAATTTCCAAACTTAAGCCCTAAGTCCTTTGTGACGTGTTTTTTGATGTTTCGCGCGCGCTGAAAGGTATCAAAGTGCGCGTGCAAACTACGACCTTTTCCTAAACAGTGTTCTCCAAAGTTATTAAGCATTACTTAAGTTTTTTTTTTAGCTAAAGAAAAGGAAAGGAAAATAAATTGGATGTGTACCGTAAATTGAAAAAATTTACCATCTGAACTCTCCATCTTTGCACCAAGTTATAAACTTGATAGAATCTAAAACTCTTCCGTCTTTAAACTTAAGGTCGATTCTTGAAGAATGGGCCATTCCAATAATTCCCCCAAGATGCAGTCGATTCTTGAAGAATGGGCCATTCCAATTACTCACAAACATCCGTTTCAATAATTTAAAATTCATGCCTCTTTTTCTGGCCATGCAATTGGTGTGCGTTGTTCGTCGCCTTGGGGGAAGGGTTGATAACACTGAATGTAGCGCGAGATTACGCGCAAGGTTGTTATGATCAGCAAAAACTAAGGACGTGACTTTCATGAAGGTTTTCTTGTCCCAAAACATTGGGAATCCCGTTCATCCTCTGAATCTACTACCATAGAGCCCTTTGCACAAGGAGTATGGTTGTTGTTTTTCACAGAACATTGGTATTTTATCTCTATCTGGACTTCAGATAAAGCGCACGGTGATTTCTCAGTTGATCGATGGAGCCCTTGGCGATCGTCAAAGCTCGATTTTGTTTAACTTCGGTGGAAGTCGAAGCCATCCTCTGGATTTGCTATCTCCTTCCCCTAGACACCAACAATTTGTGCGATCTTTTTGCTACATATATATTTCATTTGTAGGAGAAGAAAAATGTTGGGTTCTTCTCGGTTGATCGTTCGATTGCTCGACCGTCATTAACAAATTGCTGGCCGTAAGGAATCCGTTTGAAAAAAATGAAAAGGAGAGCAGAGCGTCTTTAAACCTGTCAAATCGCTTTCTAATGAAGTCTGTTTGAAGCACGCGTCAATCTTTGATAGCTTTGTTCGGAGATGCTATCCACTAAAAGCTGTCGTCCTGCGAATTCATTGCGTTCTATGCTACTCTCCCTACCCTTGCTACTTGGGAGTGCTCTGGATAAACATGGCTACTCTTTTGATTCCATACCTATAACTGTTAGGATCGTAAAGAACAAGAAAGATGGCAAGTTTTGAGCAGGGTAAAGAAATGTGGAAAGATGGGTTTCGTTCAGTTACGAGCGTGCCGGGGACAAAGAACAAATTCTGAGTTCCCACGAGAAATTGAACTCCAGACCTTCGGATTCCGCGCTCCGACGCCCTACCACTGAGCCAGGGACTCTGTTGGTTAACAAGGGTCATTACGAAGTTCATATTTCTGTTTTAGCAATTATTGCCACACTCTCAGGTAAGAATCAGTGCATGTCTTTTTCCGCTATCTTTTCCTTCTCCTCCTTTCTTTGTAGGTATGCGTAAGGGTTCGTATTTTTGATGAATTGTCGCCAATACAATGGTCATGAAGGCCTTTTGCATACATGATGGCCTTACAACAGTCAGGGTTACTCGTTTAAGCACCGAAAAATTGAAAACTCTTTAACAGTGGGCAGATATCATTTGACCTTCAAATATTCACCAAAACTACACTGCACACTCAACCATAATTCTCCTTTTCAATCCCCCTAAGAGGTTACTCAGCTTTACTTAGCGTTTACTCCCAAAACAAGTGTTCAATAACTTTACAGTTACATTAAATAAAATCATAAATAAACATGAACGATTCATTCATTAATTCAATGAGGATTCGTCTACGACTGAAAAGTTCACTTCTATACAAGTCAAGATATCTTCATAAGGTAATAAACATTTACACTCTTGAAAAAATGCTCATTAAAATATTTACACGTTGCTGTTCTCTTCTCCCAATTCAAAGTTTCAATAAATAAGATCGTGTTCCACTGTACAAATCAGAGTAAATCATCCCTCCTAAGCATAAATAATATTCACAAAGAAACCTTTTGAAAGCAACTTCACAGATTTGGGGTGAATCAACATGGTTGTATAATTCTCAAACAATTTTTTCATAAATTGATATTATCGCTCGTTTTCGTATGGCATAACATAAAGTACATAAAGCTGTACATAAAGCTTGCAATCATCTTAATTAATCGAAACATTTCCATGGTCTGATTTTCTGAAAACTCTGCAGAAAGTTGAATCTTGATATGCTAAGTGAACTCATCTGTGAGTTAGAGCCACAAAGCTACAATGTGATGTTCCTTTCGTTACCTTTTATGTCAAAAAATTCAGCTTAGCCATTTGCAAGGAAATAAAGAGTATGGAAATATGGAAGCTGCGATTAAACAAAGAATTGTTCTTAAAAAATAACGGTTTGAGCCATCTAACCTTTTTTGAAGAGTTAAGATAGAAGAAACATCATATCAATTTACACTTAGTCCATTAAAAAATCATTGTTTTAAGCGTAGAAATGAGAGCCCAGAAAGTATTTCTGTAAGGTGGTTTATCGGTCCAAAAAAATTAGTATCTACTAAAACAGTGGACAGCGTTGAGGGCGCGCTCTGATTTGCTTCTCAAACCGAGAAAATCCTTTTCCATTCACCTCCGAGCAACTCGCGCCCGAACATATTGTAATCGCTGCAGAAATAAATTAGTTAAATCATCTTTTTATCTCACTATTTTAGTATATTCTAAATCAGCTATTCACCTCAGTGGCTAACGGTGAATTTTCACCTCGCCGCCTCACAGCTGGGCAAATATCCAGCACTTACCACCTTGCTTAGAAGTTAATTGTGTGACAGTAAAACAAGCCTCTCATTAACAGCACTTTGAAGTAACAATGTCGTTTTGTCGAGACTCCTCGTTAGATTTACTTTTCCGTGCCCTTAAGGGGGCCACGGGTTTATTAAAATGCAAATGGACTCTAAATAAATAACGATCAAATATTAGGTAGCTGCCTCCAGACGTATTTAAAGTCTTGAACTGCGACTAAAATTATATAACATTGTAAAAATTGACTTTTTCGCTTAAAAGAGAACGTTGATTAACGAATTATTTTCAGAACGCAATCTTAGTTTAAGAACGTTGTTCCAACACACTAACTTTGTTAAAAAGGAATTTATCGAATTACCCTAAACATATTTCACGGTATCTAACGGGATCATTGAAGATAATTTTAAAAAGTTTGTTGTCGGAAAACCAACTCGATTAGTAAAATCTCAATGACAGTGAGGTTTGAGCAATTATCAGGTTGATGAAGGTCTCATCAATCCGTTTTAACCTTTCCTTGTTGCCTCTAGAATTCCTTTTTGAGCTTTTCATGGTTTATGCCGTGATAGTGGTGTGTCCAGTTTAATATCACGTGACCTTGGCTATGATCTTCATCTTTTAGCACTAGCTTGATCTTGGCTCATTTTTCGTTCATCTATTCTTGCGAGCGCTGCATGAACACGGAAACTCAGTCGGTTTTCAAAGTCATAACCACTGAAGTTATCCTAATAATAGGAAAAGAGAAAGAGAGCGGAGATTAAAAAGACAACTTCCTTATCAGTTTCAGGAAAGGACAGGAAATAAAAAGCTACTTTTCACCAACCTTGACTCTTTTCAACAGTTCTTCTCCTTTAGTACTCATCTGAAAATCATACACATTATACCAGATTACACATTATACCAGATTACACACTATACCAGATTGCACACTATACCAGATTACACACTATACCAGATTACACATTATACCAGATTACACATTATAGCAGATTACACATTATAGCAGATTACATATTATACCAGATTACACATTATACCAGATTACACATTATACCAGATAACTTCAATCCTTGAAACTAGCTCATAACAACGATAACAGCAAAATTTTCGAAAAACTCAAGCAGGTCTGAATTCCACTTGCTACTACACAACAGTCTTACTAAGAGTGCGACGGTTTACAATAATCACAGTCTCTTCAAACGTCTTTTCCGCCGGTTTGCTACATTAACGTGTTCTTTATCTCTCTGAATATAATTTGTGTACATTATGTCGGGTATACCACTCGGCACGTCCGTAAGCATCATTACTCCGCCATCAGAAACACCTCATCGAGAAACATGAATTAGACAAAGAAAAACCATCGATTGCCTTCTTAAAGTCTTAAGAAAATGTACCAGCAAGTTTGACCGTTTGATCTACGAAATGCTTTTTATCCCCCGGACACGATTCACACCAAACTTTTTGCCTAACACTTTATTGCTATTTTACCTTTGGGAACTATACCCACAGACACAAAAACATTCTTTCCGTTGTTATTTTTAGCCACTTTCTATATCTCCACTTGTCATTTCTAACTCTTGATTTGATAGTGACGTGAAGCAACGTCGAAACGTCGTCAAACATATTTTACGAACAGTTTTTTTAAGTTTTTAGAAGTTTTAAAGAAATTTATATGTATTTTAATAACGTTTTGGCATCGAACACTGCGATCAAATGTTTCTCCAAACCTCTCATTATATATTTTTTGGAAAAAATATTAGTGAACACTCTCGGAACTACTGACCTTTTCGTCTTGCGCATATAGAACACCAAGTTCATACAATGCAAAAGGAGGCACGTGAGAATCTGGAGGACTACGACCAGATTTGACGATAGCATCCTGAAGAAACTGTCAATCACACAGACACAAATAGCGTAGATGGATTTAGTCAATAGCTTAACTACGGCCTCTATCAATTGGATCCCAAGCTATGAACTTTGAAGCTTGGCTTCACTTAAGAATTTGTGTCACTTATGGAAATGGTTCACCAAACGGAAAGGGGTACTAAATGTATGTATACTGACCGGCTCAGATGACGTGCATAACAGTTAAAATATCACTCGCAAGTAATTATCTCACAGCCATATCCTTTCTTCAAATGTTCTTACAATTACACGCACCTTTATAGCTAAATCAGTTTTCTTCAGGACCTGACATGCTGATCCTTGAATAAGAGATTTGAGAGGAACAAGATTGGCACTCACTTGACACTTCTCTACATCTGCAATAGATAAGCAGGGAGTTTATCTCACCGTGTAGTCACAACCCAAGTGCACCACCACCACCACCACCACCACCACGGACTTTAATCAAACTTTGGTTTGGATATTGACCACTTTCATAAATGGCTGCCGGATGAATATTCTTTTGTTTAAATTTAAATTAGCCTTTCTGGCCTCGCGTGAGATAATGTATTCTTTTGAATTTTGTACTGGAGAACGAGGCCAGAAAGGCTAATTTAAATTGGAAAAAATATTAATCTGGCAGCCATTTATGAAAATGGTCTATTTCTTGGGTGTATTTAAGCGTACGTGAAGGAATTGCGGTTGTTCTACCCAAAGTGCGTTTCGCCCGATCTCAAAGTGGTATCGCCCAGAAAAATGTCACTTCGCCTAGACCAAAAGTTAGTTCAGCCAAAGTTTTATTAACGCAAATTAGGGAGGAGTTGATGCACAACTGTGCCTCACTTCCTACATTTCCTTCCTCTTTATACCTGTCATTGTTCGTGTAAAGTCAAATGAAATGTGTCACACCAGTTCCTTCAGATGATGTGGAATGTTTTACTAACATTTTTTTCCCGCGTAATAAGACAAGTTAGAATTTTGAATTCATAGCTTCATCGAGTATTCTCCTCGAGCTAGAAGATGAAAAAGAAGTAAGACTTGTTCCATAAGCGGCGCTAGATGTTAACACTTAACGTAACATCGCACCAGTGTTTGTTTTGTTCAACCTAACAATTTATTTCTTTCTAAATCGCATGAAGAAAACTTCGGGCGAACTAACTTTTGGTCCGGGCGAAGCTACTTTTTTCGGCCGATACGAAGTTGAGATCAGGCGAAACGGTTACAGGTGAAACGCACTTCGGGCGAAACGACCAGTTTCTGCGTAAGGCTTAGATGACTTGCATAACTGAAACTGAGGACGATCAATCAAACTAAAATTAAAGTCTGACCATCCTCAAGATCGCTACCTCCCTCCCGCCATCTGCCGAAAGTCACCACATGTTTCAAACACAACATGTTTCAATATTCGTAATAATGTTCATAGAACTCTCTTGATGCAGTCTCTAAGTAAAAAGCTAAGACTAATGATGTTTTTTAAATAAAGAAGAGTCTTACCAGAAAGAATTCTATTTAAGACAATTTCGTTGCAAGTGTAGAACGCTCTCCACACATACAAAAGTTCTAATGCTAACAGCAGACAGTCAGCTTCTGATGGCGGCCCTTTTTTGTACATCGCAGCCTAACAAACAAACCAACAAACATAAATAAAGGGGGAAAGTTTTCTAAAGAAACCGTGGTACTGTGTCAGTTTTCATCAACTCAGTTGATAATGTAAATAGGCCAATGTAAAGAGTTTCAAAGCTGACATTTCGAGCGTGCTACGCAGCATATGGCGGCTGTGACCACGCTCAACCAGTGCGCTTTGCGCGCCATTGTTATAGTTATCATCCGGGAACTCGATACTTTTTCTCAAAAACCGGACGGAAACGGCAAAGAATACCACAACGACAGTAGCTTTGGCGAATATTTCCACGGCAAAAATAGAAAAAGGGTATCCATCCCCCATAGCACAACTAAATCGCTACTTTGGAAGAGGTATATTGACGACGTTTTCTGGCCAACTTACATTATCAACTTAGTTGGTATAACTAAAATCATCAACTTACAAACCAACGCTGAAATTGAAACAACTGTCATGAACCATACTTTTAAGCTTGTTGCAAAACGCTCATTTGGGTTAATTTCGTTCATTCTGGCCACCTATGCCCCTGTCATGAAAAATGTAATTTCTCTTATCACTCCTAGTGAACTTCTCATTATCGCACATCCATTTCAAATGCGATGCGAGAAAAACGTTAGATTCATTTGTGAGATTGAGGCGTAATAGCAGAGTCATGGCTATTTTGTATAATGAAATATAGTGAACAAAGAAAAATTTCGCCAAAGTAAAATAGGAATCAAGTGATAACAAGAAAAAATTTCTTTTTTAACGTAATGGCACATTAGGGTTCATACCGGTGGAGTGACAGCCCTTTCATAACAGCTAATACGTTAGTCTGGTTCGTGTTTTTCAAGTTCGCACGCAGCTAGTCGTCTTAGTTTTAAGTATCCTGAGAGTCTCTTCTTCGGCTTTTTCTATAATTTTCTACTTGGTGTCGAAAATGAAAAGAAACTGCGTGAATAACTATGTTTTATATATTGTGATGCTAACGTGCAACTTGACATCATTAGTCAGGAGAGGTCTAATAAAGTATTTTTGTCGCCGTTTTTCGCCGATAATTCACCGGAAAAGCGTTGGTCTGCCTGTGCACCACTGAACTGCTGGTAGCCAAGGTTTACAGCCTATCACAATAAAGCTCCAAAATCCATATCACATTTCAGATCTATCCATAGAATTGCTTACCTTCCTTAGGAGAAACTGCTCCAGAGGAGTTTTCTTCTTGACAAATTTAGGAACCAATTTAAACTGTGCTTGTGCCTCACTTGTACTTCCTAGGATACCTATTGTGACTAAATGAGAAATAGGAAATACCGCCATTTATGTCAATATAATCAACTTCTGTTCTTATACACACAGACAAAGACAAAGAGTATATCCCTGGAGCCTCTAGATTAATGAAGGGTGATGCTGGTATAACTAAAACTTGGACTCGGCAGAAAAAAATAGAAGCTATTGGAGAGAAATGAAGAACACTGTGATACACATTTCATTTTCATTCTCGGCTAAAGGGACCGTCCAATAGACAACACTGCTACTGGTAACTGTATACCAGCAGATAAACAATGGATACTTTTTCTACACTTAGGACATGAATTACAACTGCTTTGTGTAATGGAAATAAATGAAAGATGCAAATTGAAGCAAATGTGGTGATTCAAAACCATGATTTACATTATTATCAATTTACCTCCACAGAGATAAGCATAGTAGCTTTGCGACCATTTAGATTCTTCTTTCAATCTATAATTATAAAAAAAAAAATCGTTACTGACCGTTATACACTAAGGACTGGTTAACTTCACTTGCACTCATTAATGACTTGGTGACTTTAGGTAACCTTTTGTCTCATGGACCTTATCCATGTACGAAAGAAAGCATTCACTTGTCATGTAAATTGGCCTAAACCCTGTAACTCCTTTGAGCGACCAAGACAGAGTCTCAAGTCCTTACAATATCCGAATACTATATCAAACAGACAAGTGATTAGAATAAACAAAAATACTATATCAAATACTATATCAAACAGACAAGTGATTAGAATAAACAAAAATACTATATCAAATACTATATCAAACAGACAAGTGATTAGAATAAACAAAAATACTATATCAAATACTATATCAAACAGACAAGTGATTAGAATAAACAAAAATAGCAATCAGGAGATTATTACAAAGCAGGTCATCTAATAGATTAAGAGAAATAGATTAATAGACCGTGTTTTACTAAAATCACCCTGTAGTCTTACAACTGAATTGCGTGAATTTACAGTAAATTGTGCAAAAAATCATATAAAACGTTAAAAGTTATCTATCAATTTATTTATCCTAGGTATAAATGAGTCAGTCAGTCTCTTCGTTTTGGTCATAGTTAGTAGAGGGGACCCAGTCCCCTCTACTAGCTATGTTTTGGTGGATGGCAGTTGATATTCCCGTTTCTTTGTGAAGTTGAATGCTGGCTTGTTGGAGGCTGGAATTAGGTCGTGGTTCTTGCTGGAAGGATTGTTAGCGGTCGACTGAGAGAGTTGCAGAGTCAGTTTTTATTGATGATCTCGTACGTTGTCTATTCCGGCAAGCTGAAGGGAATTTGTATGAGGTGTTCAAGATGTCCCATACGGGTTGAGCTAGGACTTCAGCATACTCTTTTAATACCCAGTTTGAGAGACCATCGGGGCCCGGGGCTTTGTGTCTGTTGAGATGGTTCAAGTTGTTGTATACCCTGTGAACTGAGACTTCTAGGAAATCTGGATTCTCTTCTAATGGCAACAGGGTAACCGTAGGGTCTCAGTCAATGGCCTTGTAAGATTGCAACGGATCCAAAAGAGCGTCATTGATGGAGTTGGATATTCCGGGTGGAGACATGTTCGTGAAGCGAGGCACACTCAGACTTGAAAACAAACTTGAGGTTTCGTTTCTTGGATCCAGGAAGTTATGTATTTCATTCCACCACTGGCGTGGGTTTAGGCCCTTAAAATCTTGGACTTTGGAGGCGTAATGCATTGCCTTGTAACGTTTCCTTTCTCTGTTGACTGCGTTCCAGTCAAAATTGAACACGGGACCGTGTTTAATGGAATGAAAGGCGATTTGGCGCATGCATATTACCTGATACCAAGTTCTCCAAATTTACATAACAAGAATTGCATGGTAGACAGTAAGGAGCACTTATAGTGAAATCATATGGGAGGAAAAAAGGTTCAATATGCACTAAATAATTTGTTATACAACCATTCTGTTTTCACAAGCTACTTGTCACAAAGGACACCAAGAAGGCACAAACAAACAAACAAACAAACAAACAAACGATAAGTACCTTAGGAATGCTGGGAGGGCATATTCCCACTCTAGCCTTAACATGTGACACCAACCTAAACAAGAAAGAAAAGTTATGGATTAAACATGAGATCTTATAAACTTATTAAACTAATCAAATGAGCATGAGGAACCACTCCTGCCTCTAAACTGACTTAACAGATTACCATGAACCAGAGGAGAGCACATGAAAACATAACACCTGAGTGTAGAAATCACAGAAAACAATGAAGCCTTTGAAGAAAGAAAGTGATTCAATTTAATTGACTGGGGTCACTTGAAAGGGTTTCAAGTCAATTTCTGACCAAGCAAAATGGTTCAAATATCTTTTAATTATTCAAGCTACAATACTCATATGTGTGAAAAACAAAAAACAAAAAAACATTCACCTATTTCATATTGACATATAAGAGCTATTTCTTGTTGTTCTGCAGCAGAGTGCATGGCCTGATGAAATTCATCCAATGCTATGCCAATGTGACCCTGGTTATACATAGACAGCTGTATTAGCACAAACATACTCCACAAATTAAGTCCAGATCAAAGCTTTTCATCTATAAGTACATATTAGTGAGTCAGAGTCATTTTATGGCACAAAAGCATGAAGGATTAGGACCATAAATTACATTGTAGTCCTTTTTCTTTTGCTATTCCTCCAATGACGTAATCTTTTTTACATTTATAATTTGGATATATCAACAAAGTTGAAATGGTAAATTGGCCACTGTAATGATTACAAAAGCTGACGTTTCGAGCATTAGCCCTTTGTCGGAGTGAATAGAGGAATTGTGGGTTGTGTGTGCTTTTGAAGGCAGAAAAAGGAGCTACATGATTGGTGGGAACATGGCAACGAGAAAAACATGAATAAATTAGTGGAATGAAAAGCGTTCGTTGATCCCACAGGGATCAACGAACGCTTTTCATTTGACGCAGCCCCAAACAAGTTTCTTTCGAAACTATCAGCCTTTATTCATTTATCTTTTATACAGTTTATACTAATAAAATTACATTTACAAGAAAATGTTTCCACTTAATTCTAGTAAGGGAAATTGTTTTCACTACAGAGCACATCACTTTGATTCAGAAACCAGTTTACTGTCCTCAAACTAAACACAAGTTTTAGAAACAGGTTTACTGTGCTCAAACAAAACACAAGTGTTTTTCTTCAGTATCTAACCTTCAATCTGGATACAAGCCCCTTGAAGAATAAAAACACAGCTGAGCTTGGGTATTCTTGGTAAGATTCTTCCAAGAGAGCAGTTGCATTGGCCAAACCTAAAAAAAAAAAAAAGAGATCATGTTACAAAGAATGAAAGACAAAAAACCATTACTCCTAGAAGCAAAATAAATTACAAGGGCTTATGTCAAAAGTATTTAAGTCAAATACAAAAACTGTTAAAAAAAGCTGTGTGAGGATCCATTATCCTGTTTACGGTATGTGCTGTTTACAGTTTGGTGGTAAATATGCATTAATTTATAATTCATATTTTCAAGTTCAAGATGTTGGTCATACCATTGTATTCTATAATTGGATAGTTAAACATTTGCCCAGTTGATAAAAGAAGACAGACCTTCCTCATTTTTTCCTTCATCCAGTGCAACAAATGGCCGGATTACTGCGTGATACCACAGCAAGGTAAGTCTATGGGGATGAATATCACAGCTTCAATTTATTTTATAGAAGCATACTGAAAAAGTACAACCACACCAGTAAACAAGTCAGGAATAACTTCTTAAGTTACTAACAGAAGACTTGTAAGCTCTTTAAAAGGTTCTTTGCTCTAATAATTTTCAAAAGGTCTTCATGGAATTTGACTTATTACCAGAACCCTCATGATTTCTTGAAATTTTATCCAGGAACCAATATTCTACATTATTGAGGATCTTAAGCAATCTTTGGGTTTGATCTTCCCAAGAACCTTGAATTGGTTTGAGTACATTTTAGATCCTTTACAAAAGTGCAGATTTTGATGAAAATACATGTAGATACTCCATGAATTTTTGAAGGATCTTCACTATTTTTAACAGTGTAATCTTTAAAATACTGGAAGTAACCTTGCCACCGGAGCTTTCATATCTTCACTCTGACTTGCCAAGTTCAATGCTTGTATTCCAACTTCTCTGTTTCCAGAAAATCCAAGAAGATGACAATATTTTAACAGCTTGGGTGGTACTAGAGATATTGCCAAATGAAACAGCCCATAACCACAAGATACTGCAGCCTGAAGGTGCCTTAATGCCTCAGGACTGACTGCTGCAGGTGACAGCTTGACTGTTTCTTCATTTATGGTAAGATTGTTCAAGGGGGATACCAGCACATCTTCAGGTTCCAAGGGTGATACCACACAAGTTTCTACAGACTACAGTGTCAGGGACAATATCAACTTAGTAACAACTCTGTTACTGTGTGAGACCATTGTTAATATGCGTAACTATGCTTCCCTAACCACACCCACTATTATGCAGAAATGAACCCTTTAACTCTCTGGAGTGATCAACATATCACTTCTCCCTATAATATCAATACATCATCCAGCAAACAGGTAATATGAATAATCAAACTTATCTGGTAGAAGTTGTTATCATTATCTAATGCTCAATTCACATGACTAATTTACAAGGAAATGTGCAGCTCTTGGGGGGGAGAATTAACAAAGAAATATTTGGAGTTGAAGGGAAAGACAGTACTGCTCGCTGCCCATTAAATGCCTGAATAAAATACCAAACTGTGCACAGTGTAAGCAGTCTATTACAGTCAGTTAGTCCACTAGTAACCATGCACAAAGACATTTATGTTAATAAAAGACCAGAACCACTGAGAGAGAAAAACTCTAACACTGTGCCTCCCTATAAAAGCCACGGGCTCAAAGAAAAATTGTTCCTTTGAATACCATTGATAATAGTGATGTCTACTAGTACATATAATGTAGTCACCTCATCAATAGCCTCTTCAACATGATGACGGCCAGATGACACATTGCCATTTGTACTACACCTCAGTTCAGGAGCCCATGCCAAGAATGCTCCACCAATACCACTTATCTCACAATAACATTTATCATAGAGCTTCCATGCACGTCGCATCAGATATCCACCTTTGATATAGTCAGTGATGCCTGTAATGGTGAATAAACCAAGTTTAACTATGAGATGTTACTTCTATCATGATATTATAAAAAGCAATGGCTATGAGAGTCAGTTTTACCTTGTTTTAGGAATGTCAGAAGAGCCATGTAGAGCTCACAATCAGCATACAAGATCTGCCTCATCAGTTGTTCATCCAGCCCCACTCCTGTACCCTTCCTGATGTTCTCTACACAGCAAACCCTCTGAGCCCTTTTAAGGTTCTCAAGAGCCCTGTCAAGCTGATCATCCTCAAATGTAAGAATTGCTTGCTGCAATACAAACAAACTTAAAAGTAAATTGGCTATCATAAAGAATTTCTAAGCTGACAGAGGGTCAACACTCGAAACATCAAACTCAGTCACTAAAACCAAATCATCTTATTATATTCCTCACTAACACAACACCAGAGTTTTTTTTTAGAAACTTACCCCTGTTAAACTTAAAAGAACACAATAATCAAAGTTGTTGAACAAGAAAATTTCTTCACAAATAATTATTGATTTGGAAGTATGGCAAATTTTGCACTCGGTCACTGAATTTAGCAGAAAAAACAATTAATTTTTGACAAAAAATTACATTTACTGCTGTAAACAGAAAAAAACATTATTCAAACATTAGTTTCTCAGATATCATGATCCACTGCTCTACAACTGTCAGCAAGAGCACAGGCAGCCCAAGCTCTCTTTGAGAACCGCACAAGGTCGGCACAACACAATTTGCATATCGATTTATAGGGATTAGTATAGGATTTTCTACAAGATATCCATAACATTTATTATTTATTACATTTATTATTTGTATTGCGCCTTTTCTATAAAATATTCAAAAGCGATGACGCAGATGTCTACCATGTTTTAGCGTTTCACTGAGGACATGAAGAGCCGCCTGACGTCCATCGCAGGGCTGAGATTGTGTGGCTACAGAATCGAAACAAAAGGTCAACCTTTACCCTTGAATTCTGCGGTGGATTTGTGGCCGTGGGTACATTTTAGCTTGGGAGTTTTTACTTCATTCAGGAGGCTGTCCGGACAGAAGTGTTCTGCCTTGTCTTCTCTTTATGTGGTAGAGAACCAGGATTAAAAAAACCCACTTAAATCAAGTGAAATCGGTAAAATAACGACACCAGGAGCAAACAACACATGTATGGAACAAGGTAAGCCATTTCTATTTAATATTTTCACCTTTAACTATCTCTATGGATATCTTGTAGAAAATCCCACACAAATCCTTATAACTCGATATGCAAATTGTGTTCCTTGTGTGGTTCTCAGAGAGAGCTTGGGCCGCCTGTGGCCAGAGTTACAGATTATTTTCTGTTGACCTAGGCCATTATGGAATGAGCCACTTAGGATCAGAATCGCTGACCCTGAAAATTTGCATAATAATTGTAACATCTCAACTTACTCATCCTGTTCGAAACAAAATTAATTACAAAATGAAAAAGGCTACCACTGCACAGGTATAACTTACCACAAAATCCACCATGCCTGAACCAGCACTCATTAGTGGAGAACCATCACTTCAAAAGGAAAAGAAAAGGAACATCCTGATGGAAAAAGTTTAACTCACATGTATACTGTACAGAGTATACAGCGTATAATATAAATACTAGTAATACATTGGTACAAAGTTAAATTGTAATTATACCAGCTCCATTAGCTTCATGTATAAATAACTGAATGTACCAGCTTACTTTACTTCCATATCAAAACACAAGTTGATAGCTTTCATTGACCACAACATTCTTCTATCTGAGCTTGACTTTACTGGACGGTATATCTGGGAATTCATTACAATGAAAAAATTACAGAATAGGGTAGCTTAGGTTCTGACATTCTTAAATTACCATGCTGACCATTTGTTAAAAACTTAGGGGCAACAAAATCTTGACCACCAGTGGAACATACAAAAGGCCACCATGATGTTCTATTGCCTACATGGGTTGGCTCCAGACTAGTTAACTTTGAATGAAATACAAGCTACAACCTGAGGGGCTACCCAAAAACAACTTTAATGTTCCATTACCATGCAGAAATTATTTCACAAACAGTTTAAGTTATAGTGGCACCACATTGTGGAATAGCTTTCCTTGCTAGGTTATATGGTGCATGGAATCCCTTGGGTCATTCATTTTCGCAATTAGCTCTCTATGGCACAGCATTCACCAAAAGTACCTTCTCAATATAGTGCAGGGCTCGACATCTCCACTAGCCCGGTAGAGACTAGTAAAAATTTGTTTGGGCTAGTACAAAAAAACATGTTTAATAGCCTGCTGGCTAGTAGAGAAATTGAAAGAAATAATAATAATTAGTTAACTTGAAGTTCACAGTTAATTAAAAAACAATAAAGAAGGCATAAGCCTTTCATCTACTGGCATCTTTTTTTGTCTTGCATGTCAATCGTAAATCACTAGATCCCAGGCTCTGCGCTTACCAATGTTGCCATGCCTTGCACATTGCCTCACACAATTGCCTCGCACTTGAACTTTGTACTATTCTTTGTTATTTTAAAAGACCTTGCCAATAAGTTTAGAGGAAGGTTTGTGTGTTTGGGGTTGAAGTAGACCTCGAGGAAAATTGATCTAGGCTACCAAGTTGTGTTTCGGGCCAGTAAATTTTAGAAATCACTAGCCTGGTGGCCAGTAATGCAGGTAGCCAAGTGTCAAACCCTGTACTGCAGTTCATAGTTATAGTAGTTGTGTAGTTGTAGTTTGATCCTTTTGTAAATAGCTGATGAATTACCTGTGGTTAAATAAAGTTTATTGATTTATTGATCAATTAAATTGTAGATTGTGCTAATGTGCCCTAGGCTGGTGACTAATTCTATAAAATTGAATCCACCTCTCTGTACACTCTGGAAAATAACTGGCCTCACAGGGCCATGATGCATTCAAATCTTTTGCTGTTATTCTAATCCTCCCTGAAACAATGCATACTCAAGGATCTGCTTTACTACACTAAAAAACCAAAACTTCCAGATGGATTCATTTTTCTCCATGAGAAGTGATAGTTCATCATGAGACATAATGCTTCTTTATGAGAGCTGATGGATATGTTGCTGGTAATTTTTTTCTAAAGGTAAATTTAATTTTTCACTAGGTACAATTTTTTAACCTGGGCAATTTTGTACCACAACATTTTTTTTCATTTGCTATGGGGCCACTGACTCTCTTCAGTCTAGTAGAAACCCCTATCACTATAATATTTCTGCTCAGATGCCAACTGCAAACAAATTTTCCCTTTTCTGTAGCAGCAAAGAATGTGTTGCTTTTGAGTATGATAGCAGCTTGAAAACAACACTTGAATTTCAAGAACAATCTTTTTACTTTCAGAAAAAAAGTAATGTAAGAAAATTTGATAATGAATGAGCAATTTCTGGACTGTACAATACTGTTCAGTGTGCACTGAAAATCAATAGTTGTTTTGAAATCATTAATTGGGTGATGAGAAGAAGTTGACATGAGGTGTCATCAACCTTGCACCTTGCATACTACTCACAAATTACTTTTTGCATTACCTGCATATCTCTTGAAGTGAAAGAGATACCAAAGTAAAATTTTCAGAAGTTGATTGATCTTTGTGTTTTCTATTACTAGATATTAAATTTTCAGGAAATTAAAAAAAATTATATTTTTCCTTCTGTGATACCTCAATAGAGGTTTGCCTACCATTTTCATGTTCACTGCACACTTTCAATGCATTGCACAGTCAAAATGTTTAAACAGGAAATTATGTTATTTTATACCAAAGAGAAAATAATAATTTCATAATCTTATGAGTACTTGCCTCCCTAATGTTCAACAACTTCAGTAACTTTTGGCTTCTTAGAAGTTATGGCTGCATCAAGTTTAAGATTGCTACCAGGCACATAGAGTTTCCCCATTGACCCTTCATTTCTCAAAATCTGTAGAATAGCTTTTCTTAATCAGCTGCCCTCAATTTCCATGAATGTTCCTCAAGAGAATTTGATATTTTTTAGAAAGATCCCCCAGTTAAAAAGTTTGTATATTCTCACCACCTTATGCAGGATGATATATTGATAATAGAATGGAAATAAGTTCAAATTAAAAAAAACAAAACAAAACAAAACAAAATATTTGCTTCTATAGCTGAAATAACAACTTTGGCAACAAAAAGATGTTTGCAAATTAAATCAAATTCAATAAGGCTAAAAAAATCATAGCAGGCGAAATAAACAGTGGCCATTTTCTCTGGTGATTAGCAAGCAAAGGTAACTTCATATCTTAGATTAATCAACACTATAACATAATCCTCAAATATGATTGGTTATCACCAGCTCAAAATCTGTACTAAGGACAGCATACAGGTCGTGCTTGTAACTAGACAGTGTATGTGACATGCATATGTAACTGGACACTATACATCATGTGTGTGCACTGTTCTTGTGCATTTCACTGAGTTCAAGTTAACTGCTTTTTTTTTTCCAATGAAAACAATTAACTTAGGACTGGTCATTACTAACAGGACTTCATACCATCCAATTCTGTCTGAAATCATACTTATCATCAACAAATCAGACTCCTGTTTTGCAGTCATCTAATTTTGTGAATCGCTTGTATGATTACAGACCAAATGGGACACCACTCAATCATTTTACCATAATACTAACTGACAAAATTGTTTTCACTTTCAGTGTTGCTGATGATATATACAGCTGCATTATTTAATGTCACTAAAGTTTCTCAGCAGTGCTTTGTCTTTCAGTGAATCACATGGTACACAAGAAGACTTATCTTACACTTTCCACAAAGCAATCTTGTTTGTTAAACTTTGAATATTTTATTAATATTCCCAACCAATTAGCCAAATTATCATATCAAGCAAGAAAAGGAAAGAGAGGCTGATTTATGCACTTGCACACTAAAGACTTTAATTCAGTCCTAGAAATTACTTCTAAAGTATCAAAAAAGGGGTCATAGAGGATAATTGATTTTTGTAATCAAGATCTCAACACAGTCACATGAACCACAAATGTTTTGCTTAAAAAACAATTGCTTGGTTGAAGCCTGTTTAACAGATCAGAATACATGTATGCTCACTGAAAAAATTTAATAATTTTGTACCATTTAGGTAAAATGATACATCATTACGAACCTGCACAAACCAAACTTTCTTAGAATATGAGAGTTTTATCTTCACCATTAAGCAAATTTATTTTATTGAATACGCCGTTTTGAATCTAATTAAGTTATAAAAATTCACATCATTGAGCAAATAAAATTTACCTTTTTCAAGCATGTTAGTAAATCGTCAACTGATACCTATTCAAATATCTGACAGGTTATGCACTCAAATGAGTGATGGCATAATGTGAATTCGAGATAGCTGTCTAAAATATAAAGTTTCTTTCGCATCACAAATGCGTAGGCATAAAAACAAGGATCATTCATGAATTTTTTATGTACTAACCCGAAAACAACCATTTCTTGTTCGACTTCCCACAAGACGAGGTTACAAAACACGATAAAAAAAATCCCTGCTGTTAGATGTTTAGACTCTACACATCAGAAATAAAGATAAAACTTTCGTATCAAGGAAATGCTTACTTTCACCTTTCAAACAAATCAGTTGTAAGCCCTCCCAGTCTATACGGTGACCAACACTAGCTTGCGGTAAACGTTAATTTACGCGAGCTAAGGTTTTCAGAAAAGATGAAATTGCAATCAAATTTTTATTCTCAACGTAATTTCCGCCCCAAGAAACATAAGCCCATAGCGAAGAGCCAAGCCCACCACGGAAGAAAAAGGTGTTTTAGCGACTACCAGAATAAAATAATATTATGCGTAAAAAAGACACCGGTTCTTGCAGGTAAACTCAACTTGAAACACAGGTTAAAAAATTAAACAGAAACTCTTCGCTCAGAAAGAGGTCATCGGTGCGAGATTGTCAAACAAAATACACAATCCGTGAGAATTATTTGTAACATAACCTCATTCAACACGTCTTAACGATAAAATTTTACCTGTGACTTCGAAAGAGCTTTTGTGATTCTTCAAAACCATTGTTCAGCAATAAATTTATCCCATCCCTAGCAAGACCATGATATTTCCAGAACGCCGATGAGGTATTTGAGCTCGCATCCTTGTACTCATTCCTGGAGGGATTCATAGGGTCACCAGTGTTGTGGCTATTTCGATAAATGCATGCAGCCCTAGTCAGGGATTTACCGGAAATCTTCACGTATCTCGCGCCATGTTTAGATTTTCAGGATTTAGTTCAAGTTGTGGGGGAAACAAACAAGTTCCAGGCGTTCTTTGATTGGCTTATCAATTTGCCCGAGTGTTTCCGGAATTTACCGAGTATTATCCGAAAGATATCACGAAGAGAAGTATTATGGTATATTTGCCGGTTAAAATTTTCAAGATGGCTTCTGTCGGACCAAGACTGGGAAGGGAACTGTCTTTCACGGGTAGGATTTGGAAAGCTTTCCATGAATGGTACATCTATGCCTGTGGTTACAGACAACTTGGTAAGTTTCCCTGTAGAGGAAAAAACTACCTGATCGAAATCTGCGTTGTTTGAGTACTCTTTGATTGTTCAGTTTGCTCCATAATTATTAGTATTGGGCCATTGCACTTTCCTCGGCCGTGCTATGCTTCGTTTACGTGGCGAGACCGTGGCGATAGTAAATCTTCAAAAACAACGAAAACACACTGAATGTGAAATTATACACCACGCCTTCCGTTTTGTACCAATCTCCAAGCTGTACTGAATGGGTTTTCTTATTCTTTGATCATCACGTCACATATACCCAATATGATATTCACAAAGTCAAGCTTATATAGTATTTTACTGTTCGTGCAAGCTTACGTATCCTTAAGATAAAGTTTATGAAATGCAGCAGTAATGAGCCATGGGCGATCTTGCTCTATACCATTAACAAAAGTCCCAACTTCCTACGATCCTGGATCAATTCAAGTAAGCCCCTAGGTTTTTCTTTGATTGGTTTAATTTCTTGTCCCCTCGACAATAGTCAATTGAAATATTGATATACAATTACCAATTGCTGCTCACTAATTACAAAATAACAGCTCCACCTATAGCTGCCAAATGGTAGCAATATTTCATCCTTAAATTATTGATTTTGATGTAAACCATATTTTTTTTTATTTGTGAATTTAAACTTTTTTATTTAAATTTAAACCTTTTTCATTTAAATTTAAACTTTTTTAATTTAAATTTCAACTTTTTTAATTTAAATTTAAATCTTTGACGATAAAAATCCATGGTAAAACACGACGTTTCGACCATGTTTCGGTCATTGTCAAGTGAATGGAATGAAATACAGTAAATATATGTATATATACACGTAAGAAATATGAAAAAATTTTTTGCAGGTGTAAACAAGCAATAAAACTACAAAGAAAGTGCTAGTAAAAAGCTAATTAAAGACCTTAGCATGAATTGAATCAGACTGTACATTGAGAGCAGGTCTTAGCTTGTGAATGAAAAACATCTCATAGACGAGACAGTCAAATTTGTTCATGCACTTCATTAAGGTGCTAAACTTCTTTGTAAGATCCTCTGGAGTCAAAGAATGTTTGTCGCAAACATGTTTGCCAATTTGTCATCCATGGCTGCTGTGATGGAAAATCAAGAAAAATAATGTTTCTACATTGGAGTACAAATAATTTAGCAGAAGTAGTTCTCGAACTTTTCAAAAATGCAATCAAGGAACATGGTGAGCTTTGGCCCTCTCGCATCCGAGTAGATTATGGAGTAGAAAACGTCTTAATTTGTGATGAGATGGCGGCTCACTGGGGGGAAGGAAGACGAAGTTTTATTGCTGGCTCGTCTACTAGCAATCAGCCTATTGAGAGACTTTGGTGTGACATTTACAGATGTGTCTGCCATTTTTTCTACTATACATTTTATGCCATGAAGCAAACTTGGATTCTTGATGTTGAGAATCCAATTCACTTGTTTCATTACATTTGGTTTTTACAAGAAGGATAAATCTTTCTCTCAAGGAGTTTTTAGCAAATCAGATATGGTCAAATGGACTCCTACAGAAAGATCATCTAGTGAATGGAAACAATGCTGATGTCGAACATATCAATGAACAGTTTTATGGTGTGGACTCAGATGGTCCTCGTCCACTGGCAGATGATCAGTATGGTGTTGTAGTACCACCCGCTGAAGTACCAAATGTATGTACAACATTAGCAACTATGTAATGCAACAAGTAAATGTTGAGGAACCCTCTCCACAAGCTGGCATTGACATTTACATTAGAGTTTTACAAATTGTTGTCCAAAAACTGGAAGAATAAAGGCAAGCTTTGTAAACATGCAAATTGCATATTTCAGTCTGCATTGGACTATGTCATTTAATAGGTTGTGATCAAGTGGCTTGAAACAGGCAAAATAAGCACAGAACCTGAAATGGTCTTTAAAAGTATTCTGTAGGGTTGATATAGGAAATTGCACGATCTTGAGTACAATTCGTAAATTAATAAGTACGAGTGATGTTTGAAAAATTCTCAAAATTGGACAAGCCTGTTAATGCGTTAGGTCTAATTTGAGAATTTTTAAAACATTTCGAGTACCTATTTATTACGAATTGTATGAGAGATAGTGCGATTTTTTATTTATAATACACTCGACAAAATTACTTCAAGGAAGACTAAGATCTCTAGGAATCTCTTAAGCGGGTAATTTGTAAGTTTCTAAGTTTGCATCAGAAATTTGTCAAACAATTGGAGACGAGTTTAATATGATTTCTAATTGAATTAAGCACAATAAAAGGTAAAAGTGCAATGAAAAGAAAAACTAAATTTGAGTTTGAGGTAATTGTATACTGCAGAGTACAATTTACAATAAAATTGTTTTCTTTTCGGCCAATCAGAATCGAGTAATTTTGTTGAGAATATTATAGGTTGGAAATTATTTGCAACAATTGAAAATTTCCAAATTTCCAAAAAAAATTATTAAATTGCTTTTATTCAAACTGCAATATTAACTGTTTACATGACCAAGCTAGGTCACTATCTTTATAACCATCTAACTGATCAAAATTGTATTTAACTAGAAATGAAAACTGGAACTTTTTTGTAAACAATATCCTCTTGTGGTTCTCATGTCAGTTATGAGGAAATAAATGCTGATTCCTTAGAATTTTAAATGACCTTGAACCTAATGGCACTAAACTACTAAATCATTATGTCAAATGTGCAGGAGTCAATCCCCACATGTTCTTACTGCATAGGTATTTTGTGTGTATTCTCTATACCACGATATCTGCTATACTTACATATTAAATAAATGTCAAACAGCGTTAACAATTTAAATACACCTTATGGCATAAATGTTGGCCTTGAAAAAAATAGAACTCTATAGCATGTTAGGAATATATTGAAATACAAAAGAAAAATAGGAACGCTTTTCTTTGTATTATTACTAATGTGCTAAAGTTCCATTTCTTGGAAAGCGTTTCTGCCAATAGGTGTAACAAAAAAAGAATACTATTACCCTTGTAATATACAAAGTTATTCCACGAATCAGATTTTCATGGTTCAATTGCCCTATAACACTATGACATGAAATCAAAAAATCCTATTGCTCCCAAGTAATGGAACTGAAATAGATGAAATGGACTTCTGGTTGAATGTTAACACAAGCTCACAATCCACTCATGTCACTATGATTCTTAAAAAGCTTATTCTTTGGGTTTTGTATTTTGATTTTGTGAACCAAAAAAATAGTACAAAAATATCTTCATTGTTCTTGGTGACAACTCATTCTCCTATCATGTTAAACTAGTACTAGTAACTGATATGTACATCTGATTCAGGCTCACTGTATGACACTTCTAAAGTGTGTTTTGACAGTTACAAGTCGTTACATTATATCCAGACATTCATTTCCTTTGTTTTCAATAGTATCGATAACATTTAGTCCTGCTTTCAGTATCAGAGAATACTGAATACTAGCATTTTGTATGTTTAGACAAATAGGAAAGTCAAAGGTGTGCTCTTTACAGTCATTTTACAGTCAACCTGAGTCCAATCTCCTGCATCAACCTGAAACATTACATTGTACCAAAGTGATTATTTGAAAATGCCAAGTCATATACAGTCCGACCTCTATTAAGTGGCCACCTATTAAGCAGCCACCCTCCATTGTGCGGCCACTTTCTATAGTCCCGATTTATTTGTCAATTAACTGCTGTATTTGATACCCCTTTTCAATGGCCACCTCTATTAAGCGGTCGCAACCACCTTTTTGCTGTCGCAAGTGTACTATTTGCATGCAGGGTTCGTACGGGTCCTGGAAATCCTGGAAAGTCCTGGAATTTTATTATCACATTTTCCAGGACTGGAAAGTCCTGGAAAAATACTGCTGGTCCTGGAAAGTCCTGGAAATCTGTTAAACTGAATAAAGTAATAAAATTTTCACAAAAAAGTAAAATGAGCAAATGTTCTTGAGTATTATTAAATCGTTCGCGTTTATGGTTTTGACCGCATAACTATTTCTCTTTCGTGTTTTTTCTCATTACAAAGTCCCTTCTGATCTTGTCACTGACTAGATAACATGCGGGCTCGAGTATAACAATGGATAGAAGGCTCGTGTATCATCATAAGCTCATGCGCAGTAGTAACCTTGATACATGCATGATTTTGTAACTTGGAGAATTGTAACATCTAATCAGTACATGGGCGTCTTTAGTTTTAAACGTTTTTATTCCGAAATATGCCTGGGAAATGCTTCTTTAGTGACCGATGGTTAGAAAACGCTTCCTATAAATTGTGGCTGGAACGTGACGTTGACAAGTTTAAAGCAAAATGCAAAGTTTGTATGAAGGCGTTTGATGTATCAAACATGGGAGAATCGGCGTTGAAAAGCCACGAAAAGGGAAAGAAGCATATTTATCTTATGGAAACGCAACAAAGAAATACAACCGGCGACATAAGAAACCTTTTGTTGAACTGCTCTTCCACTGCCCCTCGAAAAGCTACTGAAAGTAGTAACTCTACTTTGACTGTATCAAGTAGTGGTGCTAGTACAACAGCAGGTATGTCGGGGTTCGTGACAAGGAATGATACTTTAACTGCAGAAGTTTGGTGGGCCCTAAAGGTGAATAGCAGTCATTATTCCTACAATTCCTGTGCAGATATAAACTTCTTAGTGCAGCAAATGTTTCCAGACAGTGACATTGCAAAGAAATTTACCTGTGGGGAGAAAAAGGCTTCTTACCTTTCTTGCTTTGGTATTGCACCACATTTCAAGAGTCTTCTGAAGGAGAAAGTCAAATCTTCAAATGGATATGTGCTTTTGTTTGATGAAAGTTTGAATCATGAACTGCAAAAGAAGCAGATGGATTTCCATGTTCGCATTTGGAATCATGACAAAGTTGAAACTTGCTATTATGATTCACAATTTCTTGGGCATGCCAGTGCAGAAGATATGCTTGAAAAGTTTCATTCTTGCAAAGAGGACTTGAGCTGTAGAAATTTAATTCAACTCTCTA